CTTTCCCTGGCCTCCCACTTCCCCCCACATCTCCTTTTCCCCTTAACCAACACCACATCTCCCTCCCAAACTCTTTCACCCCCACCGCCCAGGCCGCGCACAACCACACTTTCCACGACAGGAATATCCCCCCACACACACACACACACACACACACACACACACATGCAAAAATATACACACACCTTCCTCTCTCTCTCTGTCTCTCTCTCTCTTTTTTTTTTTTTGGTTCATGTGTGGTCAGGGGAACTGTAACATTCCGTTGTTGAAACACACAGGTTAAAAATAAGCACGCCTCTACAATGACGACCATACTTTAGCCCTGGAAAGAGATATAAGTTTCTCAAAAAAGAAAAACGCTGATAATAAACATGTCAACTGCATCTTTACGACACACGTAGTTTTTTTACGACTTGTAATGTTTTCTTTTTCAATTCTATGTTTAGCGCTCCTAACACTTACCCGTTGAAACCGGATCATAATGCAACTCTTACCCTTTCAAACCGGATATATGCAACAGTTGTAAGTTCATGCTTACAGAAAAAGTATTTGAAAACCCCATTTGGCTTCACCGTTAACATTTAAGACTTTGAAATATTAGAAGAGGTAGCTTAGGTAAGTAGTAGGTATTATATCATCAGTCAGATTGGTTTGGTGGTAGACTGTCAAGTAGAACAGAAATATCGCGGTAGACCGTGATGTGGACAGACAGTTACTTTGTAAGAACATGTCCGTTTTCAATTAAAGGAAAATAGATCTATGCAAAAATAAACTGCGTAGATTTCAAATGTCAGCGTTGTTTCTCAGAACTAAAAAAGAAAGCAAGTTCACTAGTGTTTTGTATATCCTGAGAGTGTTTTGAGAATTTGCTGAAAACGGTAAGTGGGTTATAAGTCAATTTCATCTCAATACTGTACCGCAATGTAGTTGTATTGTGTATATCTTCGTTGAGAATCGTTATTTCGATATATTGGTTTAAAAGTGTTTATTCTGAATTCGGGGGCTTTCGTGGTAAAAAAAACTCGGTGTTCGATTCTCAGATGAAAGGTCCAAGGATCCAAATCTTCCAGCGGCGGGGGAGAATCATTCTCTGAAATGTTCTAGTTCCCCCCTTCCTGATCTCTTTTCTGTTCTCTGCCTTCCTCTCCACCCTGTCAACCCCCCCCCCCCCCTTTCCCCCCCTTTCCAAAAAATAAATAAATGAATAAATAAATAGAACAAAAATAAAATCTCTGTCCTCCACTTTGTTCTCTCCATTACTCTTGACCTCTTCT